TTCAATATCTTTATTATATTTATAATATTTATATTGTTTAAAGAAATTACGCGATTCCTTTTTTAATTTTTTTAGTTTGAGATAAATGTTGTAATGATAATCCGTAAAATGAGAAGAAGCTTGAGATAAAAAAGAGTTCTAAAAACTTCAACGCAACAAATTGAAAGACGCGTTCGAATCTCCATGGAATAAAATGTAAGTAAAATAAATGAAAATAGTAAAATACATAGAGATAAATATTTTCTTTAAAATTTTCTTTTATAAAGTTTATCTGTAAAATTAGAAATATGTAGAAAAGATAAAATAAGTGTATAGGAAGTGAATGCACTGTATTCTGATCACGTTTTATCTATAGATAATTGAAGGTTTAACTTATAAAATCAATCAAATAGATAAGAGAAAAGTTGCAGCTTTAAATGAAACTCCATAAGCTTGAGGTCTTAAAGCATTTTCTGGAGTGAATTTTCCTACGAGGTAGGATATGGCTATTTTTATCGTTGCTAGTGTGACGGTAACAAAATTCAAAGCTGAATAAATTATGTATAGCTTGAGCTTTAACTGAAACCAATTGCACTTTTAAATAAAGCTTACCAAGTACTATTTTTAGAAAGAAAAATATAAGCGAATATCTAAGCAGTAAATTTTTTATGATGTTATATGTACCGTTGCTAGTATTCGTTTTTTTCACCACCTCTTTTCACGTTCAATTTTCAACTTCAAAATTCTCTAAAAGTATTTGAGTGAAAAATCTGAAAAACTCGGAAGAAGTTGTGGAACTAAATTAGATTGATTTCTGAAAATTGCAAGAAATTTGAACAACTACTTTTTTTTCTGTAAATTTTCTACCAGAACACTAGCGTTGCTAGTGAATGAAAATAAAATATAAAACTTAAACTATAGGATTTAGGTACAAGGTCTATTTGAGCAAGTTGTTCCTTTATGCAATCTGCAAGTTTTTCTTTTGCATTGTATTTCAATAGGATGACACCAGAGGGCTCTAGAGGTAAACAACGAATAAAATTGAAAAAACTTAATTACAGCTTGAACTACAAGGTTAAGGTATAAGACATGTTGAGGAAAAATGTTTCTTGATACCTGCTGCAACTTTTCTTTCCACATTATATTTCGTTTGGGTGTCACCAGAGGTAAATTAAATAAAAAATCACCTTTACTGACATCTGGTGTCACCCAGCCGAAGTATAGTAATTTCTTCTGAGCATAAAAATCTAAGTATGTCACAATTTAGTACTTGGTCTTAAGTTACATTTTTAAATCTATTAGCATAGGTTGTTTAATAAGTTTCCGAATAAACCAAACTTATTGATGTTTTCGTTGCTAGCGTGAAGGTGAATTTGTTAGTACTTTTATAAACGTTATTCTTGAGCGCAATATAAAATATATTGAAAAAGTGAAAATGCCATCTTAAACTATGATGTTTTTAATAATAAATTGAATCAAAACATTTCCAGAAAGTTGTTGTTTTAATAGAAAATTGAAACGATGCAAATAATCACCAAAATTGTATTATGCATCGTTTCCTTGCACTGCTGAAATTTCATTAAGAAAAAACTTGACTTCAAGTGTCATTAAAAATAATCGATTGATACTTTTAAACACTTTGAAGTATCTTCTACCAATAAATATAAGTGATAGTCTGATAGGAATTAATTAGGAAATCTCCATTTTCAAATTTGTGAAATAAAAATAGCCATATGATAAATACTTAACACATGACGATAATCTTTTTAAAATGATTCGATTTTAAGTTTTATTTATTCTTTGTCGCCCATCTTGACTTTGCTTGTCATGTAGATGCCAACGATAATTTTTTTTTTTTTTGATTCAACTTATTTATAGTGGTTTGAGCTTGTAGCCATTTCCCCACTTGTCACTACACTGCGAGAAGTATCTATAAGACCACCCTTATTTATACTAATAATTCAAGAATGAGAAGCTGCAAAAAAAATCTAATGATGCACAATTATTCTTCTCCTTCAAACTTACCTTTTTATCAAAAAAAAAGTTCAACTTTATCTACAGAAGGAATAGTGATAGACAAAAATGTGTTTTGTGGTGCGAATTTTGTATAAGACCACTTCTTATATTTAACGGTATTGTTACAATTTTATGGTTTTTGCGCCATAATTGATAATCATAATGATGAACTAATTGATCTTATTCATTTTTTGCTGAATTCAATTACATTTTGAATAAGGAAATTTTGCAATGTCCTCAATGACCCATTAAGTGCCATGAGTACTACAAATTTGAATGTTTTTCTAATAAACTAATGTTTTTTTAATTTTTATATATTCTCAACAGATCCAATATCGAGAATATGTAAT